TTCTCTCTCCACAATACCTTACCTGTTTTGGCACGAACAAAGCCTCTCTTTGTTGTTAAAAATTATAAAAAACCCCATCGTCAAAGTGTTCCCAGTCTTAGTTCAACATCGGCAGTCTAAGAAACGAAACGGTCGATCGTCTTCAACGGAGACACAACGCGCGGGCGCAATAAAAAAAATCACCAAACCAAAATCGAACAAAGAAAGAAATAAAACAAGAAGAAAAGAAAAAGAAGAAACAACAACAAGACTACGACAAAAATTAAAATCTTTAAAGAAAATAACAAAAAAGGCAAGAAATTCCCAAAAAGAAAACGGATATTTTTTTACAAAAAAATAAAATTAAAAAAGGTGTCATATTTGAATTTTTTTTTAAACAAGAAAAAAATTTAAGGAAAATTTTCCAACACCTGAAAAAAATATTTTTTTGAAAGTGCAAATGACAATCAACATTTTTTATGTCGTCTGTCTGTCATCAATTGTTGGTGTTATTGTTGCTGCTGCTGCTGCTGGTGTTGAACCCCCATCAACTAGAAACAATTATGCAATAATTTATTTGTTGTTGTTGTTGCTGCTGTAATTTTTGGTTTGTGGAGGCATTTTGCAAGACAAACAAAAAATTTGAAAACAAGTTTCGTTGTCAAATGAAAAAAATTCAAAAAAAAAAAAAAAATAGTTACAGTTTTGCAATTAATTATGAGAATTTACAGATAATATATAAACAATATATATATATATATATACAGTGAGTGTAATAAGTATTTTGCCTCAATACAAATTTGACAAAATTCCAATATATACGTCTAAAGCCAGAATACTAAAGATGTAAAATGAATTATGTGTGATGAAATATGTGTGTAGACATATAGACGTATCGTATTTCTGCAAGAATCACTGCGAAAGACCTATTGGTCTCGAAGATATCGGCCGAAATCTATAACAACCCAAAAATGTTTATCACAAAAAAGTATTTTGCTTTTTATTATTATTTTAGAAAAAAATATTACACAGAACTCGTTTGGTCTTTTTATAGTTACAATTGCGGTTAACCACATACTAAAAGCGATTTGTCGACATTCATAATTCATTTTACATCTTTAGTTTGCTGGCTTTAGGCGTATATTTTGGAATTTTTTCAAATTGTTATTGAGGCAAAATACTTATTACACTCACTGTATATTGGAATCAAATTCGAAATTATACGGGCAAAAATAAACAAAAAAGTGAAACACATACAGTGGAACCCGCTTCAAAATTTTTCGATAATTAAAAAAAAAAATAATTTTGGGACACACCAACAGGCGTGGATTTATTAAAAATTAATTTTGGGACACACCAACAGGCGTGGATTTATTAAAAATTAATTTTGGGACACACCAATAGGCGTGGATTTATTAAAAATTACTTTTTGGGACAATTTGGGACACACCAAGAGGCGTGGATTTATTAAAAATTACTTTTTGGGACAATTTGGGACACACCAAGAGGCGTGGATTTATTAAAAATTAATTTTGGGAGACATCAAGAGGCGTGGATTTATTAAAAAATACTTTTTGGGACAATTTGGGACACATCTAGAGGCGTGGATTTATTAAAAAATACTTTTTGGGACAATTTGGGACACATCAAGAGGCGTGGATTATCTAAAAAATATTTTTGGGACAATTTGGGACACATCAAGAGGCGTGGATTTTCTAAAAAATACTTTTTGGGACAATTTGGGACATAACAAAATTCATTTTGGGACAAACCAAGAGGCGTGGATTTATTAAAAATTCATTTTGGGACAAACCAAGAGGATTTATTAAAAATTACTTTTTGGGACATAACAAGAGGCGTGGATTTATTAAAAATAAATTTTGGGACATAACAAGAGGCTTGGATTTATTAAAAATTAAATTTGGGACATAACAAGAGGCGTGGATTTATTAAAAATTAATTTTGGGACATAACAAGAGGCGTGGATTTATTAAAAATTAATTTTGGGACATAGCAAGAGGCGTGGATTTATTAAAAATTAATTTTGGGACACATTAAAAAGGCGTGGATTTATTAAAAATTAATTTTGGGACACATTAAAAAGGCGTGGATTTATTAAAAATTAATTTTGGGACACATTAAAAAGGCGTGGATTTATTAAAAATTAATTTTGGGACACATTAAAAAGGCGTGGATTTATTAAAAATTAATTTTGGGACACATTAAAAAGGCGTGGATTTATTAAAAATTAATTTTGGGACACATTAAAAAGGCGTGGATTTATTAAAAATTAATTTTGGGACACATAGACACATTAAAAAGGCGTGGATTTATTAAAAATTAATTTTGGGACACATTAAAAAGGCGTGGATTTATTAAAAATTAATTTTGGGACACATTAAAAAGGCGTGGATTTATTAAAAATTAATTTTGGGACACATTAAAAAGGCGTGGATTTATTAAAAATTAATTTTGGGACACATTAAAAAGGCGTGGATTTATTAAAAATTAATTTTGGGACACATTAAAAAGGCGTGGATTTATTAAAAATTAATTTTGGGACACATTAAAAAGGCGTGGATTTATTAAAAATTAATTTTGGGACACATTAAAAAGGCGTGGATTTATTAAAAATTAATTTTGGGACACATTAAAAAGGCGTGGATTTATTAAAAATTAATTTTGGGACACATTAAAAAGGCGTGGATTTATTAAAAATTAATTTTGGGACACATTAAAAAGGCGTGGATTTATTAAAAATTAATTTTGGGACACATTAAAAAGGCGTGGATTTAAAAATTAAAAATTAATTTTGGGACACATTAAAAAGGCGTGGATTTATTAAAAATTAATTTTGGGACACATTAAAAAGGCGTGGATTTATTAAAAATTAATTTTGGGACACATTAAAAAGGCGTGGATTTATTAAAAATTAATTTTGGGACACATTAAAAAGGCGTGGATTTATTAAAAATTAATTTTGGGACAATTTAATAAATTTTGGGACACATTAAAAAGGCGTGGATTTATTAAAAATTAATTTTGGGACAATTTAATAAATTTTGGGACACATTAAAAAGGCGTGGATTTATTAAAAATTTATTTTGGGACACACCAATAATGAGTTTTGGGACACATTAAAAAGGCGTGGATTTATTAAAAATTAATTTTGGGACACAATTTATTTTAATAAATTAAAAAGGCGTGGATTTATTAAAAATTTTGGGACACATTAAAAAGGCGTGGATTTATTAAAAATTTATTTTGGGACACATTAAAAAGGCGTGGATTTATTAAAAATTTATTTTGGGACACATTAAAAAGGCGTGGATTTATTAAAAATTCATTTTGGGACACACCAATAAGGCGTGGATTTATTAAAAATTCATTTTGGGACACATTAAAAAGGCGTGGATTTATTAAAAATTCATTTTGGGACACACCAATGAGTTTTGGGACACATTAAAAAGGCGTGGATTTATTAAAAATTCATTTTGGGACACACCAATGAGTTTTGGGACACATTAAAAAGGCGTGGATTTATTAAAAATTCATTTTGGGACACACCAATGAGTTTTGGGACACATTAAAAAGGCGTGGATTTATTAAAAATTCATTTTGGGACACACCAATGAGTTTTGGGACACATTAAAAAGGCGTGGATTTATTAAAAATTAATTTTGGGACAATTTAATAAATTTTGGGACACATTAAAAAGGCGTGGATTTATTACAAATTTATTTTGGGACACATTAAAAAGGCGTGGATTTATTACAAATTTATTTTGGGACACATTAAAAAGGCGTGGATTTATTAAAAATTAATTTTGGGACACATTAAAAAGGCGTGGATTTATTAAAAATTAATTTTGGGACACAGCAATGTATTTTGGGACACATTAAAAAGGCGTGGATTTATTAAAAATTCATTTTGGGACACACCAATAAGGCGTGGATTTATTAAAAATTCATTTTGGGATAATTTAATACATTTTGGGACACACCAAGAGGCGTGGATTTATTAAAAATTCATTTTGAGACAATTTAATAAATTTTGGGACACAGCAAGGGAAATTCATTTTGGGAAAATTTACCAGGCGTGGATTTATTAAAAAAAATATTTTGAGGTATTGTAGAGGTTACCCTGTTTTTTTTTGTAATACAGGTTTTTTATTTTTATTGTTGTTGTTTTTGGTTTTCCATATTTTTTTTTAAATTTGTCAAATTGCAATACCGATCGGCAGCAGCATAAACTTGTTTTGTTTTATTTTTGTTTGTTTTCAAATCCCCTTCCATACACAGCAATAACTGTTCAGATACGGTCAAACCGACACACACACACCTGTGTGTGTGTGTTTGAGCTGTGAATTAAACAAAAATAGGCAAACAACAACAACAACAAAACACAATTATTAAGCAAATCGAACTTCACACAAAAGCCCCCCTTTCAAGACCAGAGAGAATGGAGCGCTGTGGGGACAGACACCAAACGACTACGACATTGGTCAAGAATCAGAATACGTTCCGTTTGTCAATGGGTTTGATGGCGATGGTGATGTTGTTATTGTGGTGGCTGGTACGAGCCTCCTTTCGCTTTTTATTTTTTTTTGTGAACTGGTCCAACAACAACACCAGCACCAACCATTCATTACGGTAGCAACAGCAACAATCAAGACAAGACAGTGGGAGATTTTTTTTGCCGCTACAATGAACATCGAACACCTGTTCTCATCGTATTCTTCTAAGTTTTTTGTTGTAAAAAAATATTATTTTGTAATAAAATCTGTAATTGAGAGAGTCATATTTTAATGAATTTTAATTTTTCTTCTTCTAGCCGCGTGTGTGTGTACGTTTGTGTGATCTCATCTGTGTTGTTGTTGTTTTATATTGTGTTTGTCGGCCGTGTGCACTTAAATCTCTGATCTTCGAATGTTTGTTGAGAGATTTGATTGAGAAATTGCAACACCAAAAAAAAGACTGTTCCTAACTCTCCGTCACCTCTCTTCGTGAGTTGTGAAAAGTAACAGCCGCCAAAATTGGTCGACTTACGAAAACATCGTTTACCATAAGTGACCTTAGTGTGAGTATGAATATATATTTTTTAATATTAGATATTTCCCCCAATTGGCACTGATATTTTTGGGATATTGGTTATAGTTAGCGTTTTTATTTGTTCCGATACCTCTAATGACATTTTCTGGAGAAAATTTTTTTCCTTAATACCCTGACCGTAAAATTAAAAATTATCCAAAATAATGGACCAATATCAAAACTAGCAATTAATTACTAGAAAATAATTTATATATATATAGGCAAATTGGTACGGTTTTTTTAGGGTTATACGTTGTAGTTAGCGATTTTATTTGTTCGGTGGCCTATAATGAAATTTTCTGGAGAATATTTTTCTCCTTAATACCCTGCCCCTAAAATAAAGAACTAACCGAAAAAATGGTCCATTATCAAAAAACTAGCAATTACTAATTAGAAAATAATTTCCCAATTTATATAGGCACATTGTTACGGATTTTTTAGGGATATACGTTATAGTTAGCGATTTTATTTGTTCGGTGACTTCTAATAAAATTTTCTGGGGAGTATATTCCTCCTTAGTACCATCCCCCTACAATGAAGAATTATCCGAAATTCCGGATCAATATCAAAAAACTAGCAATTACTAATTAGAAAATAACTTTCTATTTATATAGGCAAATTAGTAGTTATTTTTTAGGTATATACGTCATAGTTAGCAATTTTATTTGTTCGGAGACATCTAATGAAATTTTCTGGAGAACATTTTTCTCCTTAGTACCTTATCCCTTAAGTGATGTTTTATTACTAATATTGAGCCAAGTTCAAAAAATACCAAAAAAAAAAAAAAAAATTCTTAGAAAATAATTTCCTACTTATATATCCATAATAGCACCTATATTTTGGGGATATGGGTCAGAGTTACCGATTTGATTTGTTCTATGGCCCCTAATAGAATTTTCTGGAAAACATTTTCTCTCCTAGCACCACCCCCCTCAAATGAAGTATTATTGGGAATAATGAGTGAAGTTTAAAAAATACCAATTAATTATTTGAAAATAATGTTCTACGTATAAAACCATAATAGCGTCGATATTTACGGGATATAGGTTATAGCTACCGATTTTATTTGTTCGGCGGCCCCTACTGAAATTTTTTGGAGAACATTTTTTCCTTTAATACCTAACCCATTAGGTTATGTTTTATTAGAATAATCGAGCCAAATTCAAAAGAATCCCAATAAATTTTTGAAAATAATTTCCTACTTATATACCCATAATAGCACCGATATTTTCGGAATATATATTTTATCTACCGGCATTATTTGTTCGGAGACCTATAGTGAATTTTTCTAGAGAATATTTTTATCCTCAGCACCATTCCCCTAAAATGAAGTATTATACGAAATACCGGACCAATATCAAAAAACTAACAATTACTTTAAAAAATATTTTTATATTTATATAGGCGGATTAGCACCAATATTTTGGGTATATACGTTATAGCTAGCGATTTCATTTGTTCGGTGGCCTCTAATGAAATTTCCTGGAGAACATTTTTTTCTTTAGTACCATGCTCCTTAAGTGAAGTCTTATTAGAATTATCGAGCCCAATTCAAAAGAATCCCAATAAATAATTTGAAAATAATTTCCTACATATATACATTATAATAGCACCGATTTTAACGGGATATAGGTTATAGCTAGCGATTTCATTTGTTCGGTGACCTCTAATGAAATTTTCTGCAGAACTACTAAAATTTTCTGGAGACTATTTTTCTCTTTAATACCTAACCCATTAAGTGAAGTTTTATTGGGAATATCGAGACAAGTTCAAAAAAATCCCAAGAAATTATTTAAGAATAATTTCCTACTTACATACCCATAATATATCCGATATTGACCGCGATATGATTTTATTTGTTCGGTGACCCCTACTGGAATTTTCTGCGGAACATGTTTCTCCTTTGTACTCTGCCCTTTATTTGAAGTCTTATTGGGATTATCGAGCCGAATTCAAACAATACGCATAAGTTATTAGAAAACAAACAATATTGGCACCGATATTTTCAGGGTATATATTATAGGAAACAATTTCATTTGTTAGGTGGCCCCTAATAGAATTTTCTGCAGAACATTTTTCTCATTAATATTTTGACCCTTAAATAAAGTCTTATTAGAATTATAGAGCCAAATTAAAATAAATACCAATAAATTATTTGAAAATAATTTCCTAATTATATACCCATAATAGCACCGATATTTTCGGGATATAGCTTATAGTTACCGATTTCATTTGTTCAGTGGCCCGTACTGGAATTTTCTAGGGAAAATTTTTCTCCTTAGTACTCTGCCCCTTAAATGAAGTCTTATTGGAATTATCGAGCTGAATTCAAAAAATACCAGTAAATTATTAGAAAACAATTTTCCATTTATACAGACATATTGGCACCGACATTTTGAGGTATTTATTATAGCTACCGATTTCATTTGTTCAGTGGTCCCTACTGGAATTTTCTGCGGAACATTTTTCTTCTTAGTACCTTGACCATCAAATGAATGTGTATCGGAAATTTTGAACCAAATTCAAAAAATACCAATACATTATTTGAAAATAATTACCTATTTATATACCCATAATATAACCGTAAATTTCTGGATATGGGTTATAGCTACCGATTTTATTTGTTCGGTAGCCCCTAATGGAATTTTCTAGGGAACATTTTTCTCCTTTGTACCCTGCCCTTTAAATGAAGTCTTATTGGAAATATTGAACCAAATTCAAAAATACCAATAAATTATTTGAAAATAATTGCCTATTTATATACCCATAATATCACCGATATTTTCGGAATATACGTTATAGTTATCATTTTCATTTGTTCGGTGGCCCCTACTGGAATTTTTTGCGGAACAATTTTCTCCCTAATACCTTGCCCCTTAAGTGAAGTTTTATTGGAAATATTGAGCCAAATTCAAAAAATACCAATAAATTATTTGAAAATAATTACTTACTTAAATATACACATACTATCACCGATATTTTCGGGATATAGGTTACAGTTACCGATTTCATTTTTTCGGTGGCCCCTACGGGAATTTTCTAGGGAACATTTTTCTCCTTAATACCTTGGCCCTTAGGTGGTGTTGTATTAGAAATATTAGCTCAAATTAAAAAAAAATACCAACTTCTTATTGGAAATGTATTTTTAATTATATAGGCATTTTGGCACTGGCATTTCCGGGACATATGTTATAGCTACCGATTTCATTTGTTCGGAGACCCATAATGAAATTTTCTAGAGAACATTTTTCTCCTTGGTACCATAACCCTTAAGTGACGTAATATTGGAAATATTGAACAAAATTCAAAAAATACCAATTTCTCAATGGAAAACAATTACCCATTTGTATAGTTAGGAAGATACCTATATTTTCGGAATATTAGTTAAAGCTAGTGATTTCATTTGTTCGGAGACCTACAGTGAAATTTTCCGAAGAATATTTTTCTCTTTAAACCCATACTACTCAAGTGAAGTTGTATGGGAAATATTTACGTGAGTTCAAAAAATCAAAAAAAAAAAAAAAAATGTTAAGAAAATAATGTGCAATTTTTATTGACATCTTGAACCGTTATTTTCAGAGCATATATTAGACCTATCAATTTCAGTTGTTCGGGGACCTATAACGAAATTTGATGAAGAATATTTTTCTTTTTAACATTATTGTACTCAATTGATGTTCTGAGTTAGAAAATTTCATTTTTTTGGATATAAGTCTGTTAATTAGAACTCCTTGTTACCAATGAATTTTTTTTAAATCCTCACTTTGTAATAAACCCTTTAAAGTAATTTGTTAAAAATCCACGCCCTCTGAACCCTAAAAATAATTTGTAAAAAATTCCAAAGATGCGTCGATTAAAAAAAGGATTTTTATAAAATTATTTTTTGAAGTAACAACCAAAGTGGATTTTTTAAAACTATTTTTTGAGGAAACCAAAGAGGCGTGGACATATAAAAAAATTGTGTATGTTATATGTTTCCAATATTATTTAAAAAAGACCCTTATATAATTTATGTATTATTTTATTATTAACTAAATCGTAATTTTTTGTTTAGTTCTGAATCATCATCCTCTCATAAATTTTTGTCAAGCATGAAATCATTCAGAATTGTTCAGATGTTATTTTATTGTATTATATTTTTTTGCATTGCAAATTGTAGATAATTGTTGTTGTTGTACTTTTTTGTATTGCTCCAAAACATGTCATTTTCAGTATTGTTTTCAGCGAAGCAAAATAACTCAAAGCATCAGGGTGATGCTTTGGATGCCATGAATAATGACTTTGATTGTTCGTCCGACTGTCTTAATGACTATTTTTTGTGCTTTTTTTGTTGAAGATGATGAGGGAATGTTTTGAGGTTGTTATAAACAGAACAATTTAGAATTGTTTTCAAAAAAATTTAGTCACTTTTTTTAAACAGTATTAGTCACTTGAAATAAAAAATTAAAAAAAATGGGCACCATAAAATAAAATTCTTTCATTACAGGTGTTAATTTACAACAACCACAAAAAAATAAATATTTTTAGAAAAAAAAATCTTTGTGTTTGGAAAAAATCCCACACATGTGAAGTTTTTTGTTTAACAAAATCGATTCAGCTCCCACACAAAAATTCTTTTATTACCTCCCCCAGAATAGGAAACCATTCAAAGGTGAACTTTTTTTACAAAAAAAGTGATTGTTCATATTTTTAGTAATTGCCAGAAATTTTCATCTCAAGAAGAAGAAGAAGAAAAAGACACACTCTTAGCCATAATGTACAAATATTTTTTTAACAAAATATTTATGTATGTGCGGGATTTCTTTTGGTTTTTTTGTGGTCGGTTATAAGTAGTATTGGCCGGTGTTTATTTTCTGTTGTTGTTGTTTTTGTGATTTTTTATTTTCATAGCCACATTAAGTACATTTAACCATGACCTACATTCCATGAACAAAAACAACAACAAAGCCGCACAAAAACAAAACAATTCACACTACCTCCAAAAACCCA